GCTGCCGAGGCTACATCGGCACACTACATTCACAGTGTCTTTTGTTGTTGTTGTTGTTGTTGTTGTTGTTGTTGTTGTTACGCTTAGTCACTGAATGTATATGATTTTGACAGAAACAAATAATTGCTGTTAAGTTGAAAAGATGCCCCAGTGGGATGTGAATCTGAGGGCATCTAGACTTGCTTCATATAAATGGCTTCCTAGTGCAGAAAGGGCAGGGCGGAAGGGAAAATAACGCGGTTCAGTGACTGTGAGACCGACTAATCGTTGTTTAGATCCAAAATTGACAATTAACACTTATCAGAGGAGTACATGGTGATCTAGACAGCTAGTTGTGTAACGTCTTTCTAGTGGAAGCCTCGATGGATGTGGGTTAGATCACAGGGCAGACTTGCACAAGTCTCAAAGGTAATAATTCATAGTTTAAATGACAATTTCTAAAAAATATAAATAAAAAGAACGCATTGTCACTCTAACAGACTGGCGTTCTTAGACTGTCAGCTTATCTAGACTTGCCTTTTTAAGGGGTAGAATTACTATACATCCGTGGGCTAAGCACTCAGAACAGCTATGGAGCAAGGATACTGGCAGGGGACACAAAATACTTGATCTAGACCTCCTGTTGTCGAGCGTTCATTTTCTGGAAACCGCGATGGGTGTGGGTCAGAAAGCGAATAGTGGCAAAACGCCCGTTCGTCGTCATCTAACAGTGAGTGAGGTTTTGGTTTTACACCGATATTAGCAATATTGCAGCATTATCACGGCGGGGGACACCAACAACGGGCTTCACACATTGTACCCATGTGGGAAATCGAACCAGGGTTTTCGGCGTGACGAGCGAACTCTTTAACCAGTAGGCTACGACAACGCCCCTCGTCATCAAACAACCAGGGACCTAGTTCATTTTGGGCGAAGAACACTTGTTCAGTTATAGATTTTCGAAAGACATGACATGACAAGTCAAAACGTTAACTATTACAGGTTCGGACAACTTCTCCATATGCGAGAATAAACCAACTTCTATTCACATCTAGTCTATTCACATCTCTGCAAGTATCTACGCTTGACCTTCACTGTCTCTTAAGGTCGCGCTTCGTCAGTTATACTGACCGAGGTCAAGTGTCCGAACCCCACAGAGAAAACACTATACGTTTCTCAGCAAACAATGTACACAGATGTCCACCTGTGTGGAAACTACCTGATCATGGTTAGAGAACAGTTTAAGCTGCCTTCTGCTCGGTAAACAAGATACTTTACCTCTTACTGTCCGTTGTCCAGGCATCACCAATATGGTTTGTAATGTCCATTTGTGTTTTTATTCAGCCATGACGCTGGACAGTGCCCGTGCGTGTAATCTAAACATATGTTGAAATCAATCCTGAACAGTGTTACACACACCCATTTAATTTTACGTAAATAATACAATATGCATATCTTCAGTAATAAACTGTTGATTGTTTAGATAACGTAGAGTAAAAGCGAGGAGTTATAAGTGTCAACTTCTTTATTTAATCGAGGAACACGATGTTTCGGAACATATTCTTACTCCTTCTTTGGGTGTATGAAAAAACAAGGAGGCAGATAGAGCTATGTAAGTAGTGAGTGAATGAGTGAGTATGGTTTTACGCCGCTTTTAGCAATTTTCCAGTATTAAATGTATGACGGCGGGATATCAGTACCTGTGAAACAACAATAGTGATAAGATGATAAGAGAAGCCAGGAGTTATTTAGCACTAAATTTGTAAGGTGGATAGACAGATGGAAGCCAGGGATTGTTAATCCAGGCATGAATAATGAGATAGATAACAATGGTGGCACTTAACAAACAAAAAACGTACATTGTTAATTTACATTGCATCAAAATATATCCTGATGTCCTGAGTATGCGCAAGTACATTATTCACTTAATGTTAATAGTGAGTGAGTGAGTTTAGTTTTACGCCGCACTCAGCAATCCTCCAGCTATATGGCCGCGGTCTGTAAATAATCGAGTCTGGACCAGACAATCCAGTGATCAACAGCATGAGCATCGATCTGCGCAACTGGGAACCGATGACATGTGTCAACCAAGTCAGCGAGCCTGACCACCCGATCCCGTTAGTCCATGTTAATGGTGAACCTGGGGTACAACAATATAGTTTATTATATGTTTTGTCCATGATACGTCAGTCAAACAACACCATTGAGTATGACAGGCAATATACTACCTCAGTATCTCTTCAACTCAACCAGACTCGTGTCCTCAGGTCAATACAAGTGTCCCATTTTACACCACACGGTCATCAATGGGATCATCAGTGTTTCGGTGGGGCAATTAAGTCTTTCCCAGGTCACAGTTAACCTTACATCTTCTCATGGGTTGGTTGGCTTGCATGCGGGGTAGGCTAGTGGTTAAAGCGTTCGCTCGTCACGCCGAAGACCTGGGTTCAATTCCCCACATTGGTACAATATGTGAAGCCCATTTCTGGTGTTCCCCGCCGTGATATTGCTGGAGTATTTCTAAAAGTGGTGTAGAATTAAACTCACACACCCGTTTCGTGCGGACACATCGTCATCCATTTGTGTCAAGGTCGTTTAGTTGGGGATCAAAATCGGGTCGACTTGCAGAAATAACAATAAAGAATTGGTAGGTTTCATGATTGGTGATCGATAGGCCAATCACCCATGATTATGTTCACATTGAGTTTTAATCGATTGCATGCGATGGTAGCGTAGAGATCGGCAAAGCAGGCGGGTTGGGTACACCGAAGTGTCCGGCCTTGTCATAATGTATTGTACTGTGAAGCATTTCGAGTCGGGGATCATCTCAAATGTTGACAAAATAAATTTGAAAGACTCACGAAGACTGAATCTACAGACTAAATTTGCTGCTGAAGTCCGATTCAGATAAATACCCCAAGTTGTTCTGGTGACATTCACTTCACAGCTAGTTCGTTGTGTAAGTTTCTATGGAACATTTCTCCGCCACCATTTGCTTCGGGGAATAATATACTCATGCCAAAAATGGTTGTCACCCCCTTCAATTTTTTTAATTGGAGAGGGGGTGTGAGGTGGGGGTGTGAGGTGTGTGAGGGTTGGGGTGGGGAGGGGGGTGACAACCATTATTGGCATGAGTATAGTTCATTTTAAATTCCCATTTGGCTAGCGTTTCTTTCATTATTCTGTCCTCGTTCTCAATTCATTGATAATTTCAAGTGGTTAGTCATAACAGGGCTGTACCTCTTCCAACAATACATACGACTGCTAAGGCAATTCAGTAAATTAAAGCCCCTACAAACGTGATGATCTATCTGTCTTCTGATATGTCTATGCTTATCTTTGAAATGGATAGGATGGAATATCAGTCTTCTGATGAGGGGGCGCTTTGATCTAAGTGCACGTTATTCACAAGTAACACATTTGGAGACAAACCCATAATGTTTTTAAACATATTTAGCCAGTATTACGTGCCCTTGAACACATAAATGTTTTGTCCATATCCATTTCTATTGCCATCAAGGTATAGGGTAACTTCTTTGTCTTCCAAGTGATAAGTTGCTTGCAGTTTAATCATATTCTAATCATTTACTTTAGTGATGCAGGATTCTAAATTGCTTCGCTAAAGATGCTTTATCCTGTGATAATGTACACTTTTGGAGTTACGTCATAATGGGCTTACGTCACGACGTTGTTTAAATTTAGTCCCAGTGATCTAAGGTATCCATGGAAACAGCGTTGGTTTATAACCGTCAAGAATCCACAATACTTATCGTTGAAATAATTTAAATTTGTGAAATAATTGAATGTTATTACATCGGAGGGAAGATGGCGAGATGTCAAGTATCTCTCAAACCGCGAAGTATTTCCAAAGTTATTCTGAACCACAGTGCCGGTGACACAGCAGCCGGAATGTCGTCCCTGACGGCGTTGGTGCCCAGGGAATTATGTCTGTGTCTGGACACAGTCATAACAGTCGATAAGCAGTTGACTGTCTGGCATTTAGTTCCATGTCACACAAATCCAAGGCTGGTGCTGTTTTGACGCTATGTTCATCCGAAAAATATCATCTTAAAAAACCCAGCGACACTGAATTTCAGATATTGTCATAGTGCTAACTCCGTCCTACTGTGCACTGCGGAATGTTTCGAATGACTGAAACAGAAGGAAATCTAAAACAAACTAACTAGACAAATTAAATCATTTTTCATTACTGCATACGGTCATTGACAATCACACTCTGGATGAGAATAAATACTTAGGTACTGGTATTCTAACCATTGGAAATACCAGCACGGGTTGCTGGGAACCAACTGGATCCTGGTCTCCCAATGGAAAGACCAGCGTAGATTGTTGGGGACCAATTGTATCCCGGTCTCCCAATGGAAAGATTCGTATAGGTTGTTTGGGACCGATTGTATCGCAGTGTACCGATGGAAAGACCAGCGTTGTCAGCTTGGTACCAATTGTATCCCGGTCTCCCGATGGAAAGACCGGCGTAGGTAGCTTGGGACCAATTGTATCCCAAATTCTTCTCCTGGTACTACTTCTGTTTTCCATCTCAAAAGCCAACTTTGATAATAGAAAAAAATAGAGGACCAAGAACGTATCCCTGACGGACTCTGTGTGGACAAGGAAACAGTTCTGACAGCATATTAACATATTTAAGGCGATCCTTCACCGCTGTGTAAATAGATTGTATGGAGCTAACCACTTTAGGAGAAACGACTATATTCTTCAGCCTCGACCATGATTTTATACGCCGGACTCTGTCAAAGCATCAGAACCCACCAGCTATATGAGAAAAATGCAATATATATTCACATATGACAAGGATATAATGTAAATACATATAATGAGTGAGATTTCCAATGAAATATGACAAAATTAAGGTAACATGAGTTCTAATGTTAAGATGATGTTGATGAATTTAGACAGGTTGTTCACATGTGTTTACTCTAGTACTGGATAAACATTTTTCAGCTTATATATATTAGGCTATTCGTAGAGATCTTTATGCATGTATACAGGGCTTCACACGTGAAAAGGCAGTGGTACTCGTCACCAACCGCCGGGGAATTCACAATTGCACAAACGTTCCACTCTTGGGATATCAGACCAGCGTCCGGTTTCAACTGGTAAGATGATGTTTGTTGTTCTAAGTTTCAAGATTGGATAATGACCTTTTTTTAGGTGATAAAGACATTTTTCAATACTTATATAGCTATGTAAACTTTCGCCAAGTCAACCAATAACCAACGACCCTTTTGCACTCACTCGCCCAAACACACTTTAAACCGGATTTAACATAAACCGCATGACTAGCTGGTTTCTAAACATATTCACACGAGGTCCCATCAGGGGATTAGTGAAAATTCTGAGGGCCACCGACCTGGAAATGCAACAGACATGAAATATTACACATGGGCTCGTACTGCGTTAACCGTTGTGTGAAAGGTCACAAAGCCATACAAAATAGATATCCCTTCATACAATAACAAATTTATAGGTTCATCACAATTGTCACACAAGTTGACTCCCTAAAACCAGGTACAATCAACCCATACTGTGAAAGTACAATCAACCCATACTGTGAAATATCCGGCATAAATACATTAACCAAACACCATAACATGCACCATTAGTTACATTCACAGAGACACTTCACACCACCTCACTTAAAGGGGCACTGATGTCTTACAATTTGGCGGGCTGGTTGTTGCCTTTGACTTTTTCCCGAGCATCCCCTGATGATATTCGACACATTTCGACTGGTTCGTGATCTGTGCTGCGCTAACCCGAACACGTATTTGAGTGAGTGTGGTTGTACGCCGCTGTTTGCAATAGTCAAGAAATATCATGGCGGGGACACCAGAAATGGGTTTCACACATTGTACCATGTGGGTAAGAAAGCTTATTTGAGAATATTAAGGCGTTTCCTCACTTTGATAAACAAAGATAAAATACAGGTCAGTCATGGAATTTATCGTGTGTCACGTCGGTAAGATGAGTCACGGCGTTTTGATGAGTTTTTTAGACTCTATCAAAACTAATCATTCAACATTGTTTATCGATCCATTCGTGTGTAAATGTAACGTTAGTGTTTAAATAATTGAAATGTACACTTTGGCAAGTAGAAACAAACTTGTATGGTTCGGTTATTGTACGAATTGCCCGCAAAGTCGGCACATCCAGTTAATTATAATAATAACTATTGAAGTATGGCATTTTTGGTCGGCCATTTTGTAATCACACCAAATTAAGTCTTCTACCCAAGATGTATATTGGTACAGTTTGGAAAACACGTCATGATACAGATTATTCGTGTCTTGTACTCGTTTCAGTATTCCTTGTGTCTTTGGACCCAATTGCATATGATACAGATAAGTAATAAATCGGGGAAACGTCTCTTTAAACGTGCTCCAGATGAATTTCTTCAGTTTGGCTTGTATCATGTTTTCGTGTTACCTCTTTTCATTTACAGCTGTCGTTTCTCATCCAAAAAAGTCTTTATTCAGCTCACGCGTACGTGAATACATTTGTCTTATACCTTGCTCTTCGAGATCAGCTATGTTATTTTTCCTGTTGCCGTGTGTGACATCACTTAACGATACAACATCATCATCATCATTATTTTCCATTTCATGACATTGTTTATCGTGTAAATGTCTTTGTAAGTTGTGGTTATTGCTAAACACTTGACCACAATAGTCACAATCTGACAGAGGACATGGTCTCTTCACAGGAGAGAAGTTGTCGTCTTCCTCCCACTTCCTTTTAACTTGGGGTATTCCAGGTGGACCCACTGAAGACTTTTCAGGACACCATTTTCTTCTGTGTTTTTGCAAATCATGCACGTCTTGAAACACGAGTCCACAGTCATCACAAGATGGCATTGTTGGGAGGTTTTCTTCACACGTCTGCTTACTTTGAACGTCTAACTCGGACTGAATTGTCCTAGCTTGGAGGCCTCCTTTTAAACTGAGGCCTTTTGAACTGCATTGGGACAAAGTCACAAATGGGGAGGTGTTTGAGGTTTTAGATCAACCGACAAGTATCCATAAGGTTTCTGAGTAGCCCTTTGAAATGGCTCGATGAAATGGTCTGTGATACCTGGATACATTTGCCTCGCCAAAGTCATGATGGGTTGTTGATCGATAGGGTTGTTTAACAGAAGCAGATAATGACAGTTTCTTCGTTGTGTGGGATCCTTACTGTAATACAAATTCTGGTTCAAGGCTATCACTGAGAGATTACGATGATGACTTCCTTCGGTAAAAAGATCTGTAATGCGTGGATCTTTGCTGGCAGTAGACATTAAGTCGGCGAGGATAACCATGTTCACAACACTAGGGTCCAGAAACGCATCCTTTTCGAGGTGAGAAGGAATGCCTTGATGAAATTCAACGTAAGGATAAACATAGGCTTGAATGGTGTTATACAGTGGCTGCCATCGTCTGTAGAGCCATATAATACGTTCAGGATAAGGTTTAATGTTCATCCTTTCTAGAAGCTGCTTCACTAAGTAGGTTTTCCCACAGGAGGTGGGCCCTGTGACGATCGTGGTAAATGGATGTAGGAGCCTAAATTCTTCAAATGACTGGGTAGTACTTTCTGATGAATGTGGTTGCACTGGTTGCATCACAGGTGATGGTACTTGTGGTGGTGGTGGAGGAGTAGGAAAAGGAGGAGGAGAGGGTTGTTGATGTTTCCGTCTTCTATGTTTCAACATATTGTCTGTCCTGGAAAACGTCTGATAGCACACGGGACACGTTGCTGACTGCATGGTGCTCCAAGTCTAAATGACAGGGAACCATGTCTACAGGCTGCTTTTATCTAAAACGTCGCCTTCCGTTTCTTCATGGGAATCTGGGAGGAACTTCCAGATTTAGACCCCCCCTTTCTTCTGCATCTGAATAAGAGCCTTGGCGTGTTCGACCACTTGTTGAGTAGGAATAACGAAATTAATCTTAGGCTGTTCTCAGGGTTTTGGTTCCTTTTGTTTCTTCCACTCATTCAGTTCCAAATATCGATCGAAAGACATCATGGCAGATTTGTCTGCTCCACGCATTATAGAATGATAAGGATCTCCTTTCCCTTCAGCCTGGAGCATGTAAAACCGTGTCCATTTATCGGCATCGGGTACGAAGAGTTCGTATTGTGGATTATTCATGATGAAAACGGGAGCGACTTGAGGTGATGTGTCACTGTCACTGGTCCATGGCTAAATGAAGCTAGATAGCCCTTGTGGCCTGTTATATATAGATATCCACGGTTTGAATTGACCTTTCATGGCTTGGTATAGCTTTCAACATCACTGCCAGGATGTTTTTGGATGGTCATACATGCTCTTTCCCGGAATGACAAACTAAACCTAAGACGGGTGTACCAGATGTACTAAGCCAATGCTCTATCAAACAACCAGGCATTTTGAATGGCTTCATCTCTAAGAGCATTGACAAACTGTGGTTTCAAAACAAATGCGACGATAGGCATGTAAAAAGACTCTTCCACATACTATCTGTCGTCCAAAGGGGGTGTACTAATCTTCGTAACACAGCTAGTTATTTCTATCATTTTTCCTCAGGAAACGACGCCTTTCATATCGAGTCACTGGTAATCTTCCCTTTGATAATCATTGATAATACCATTGACGGCAAGAATCTGTTCTCTGTTCATTTCTAAGATATCTTGTCTAATCTCCTCAATGTCTTGAAACATTAACATGAACCTTTAAAATTTGTAATGTTTCAACACGTACCTAGCCATAATAATTCTAGCAAACAAGCTCTTATCATGGTTGGGATCTCAATGACCTCTATTTATACATCGACAAAAGACTATACATAGACAACCAATGCATATATATACTCTGAACATTGATTTATATCTAATATTCACAAATTAATTGTCCCCTCTGATTAAGTACACAAATCCTGCCTGGGCCATGTGCTTCAGTAACCCATGCTTGTCGTAAGAAGTGACTAACGGGATCGGGTGGTGAGGCTCGCTGGCATGGTTGACACATCCCATCATCATATCCCAATTGGGTAGATCGATGCTCATGCTGTTGATCACTGGAATGTCTGGTCCAGATTCGATTAATTACAGACCATATAGCTGGGATATTGCTGAGTGCAAGACAAAACTAAACTCACTCACTCACTTAATGCATTGCTGGAGGTTTGACATGAGACAACTGTTCGTTGTACAAATCTTTGTTTTACAACTGATAAATAATCCTCCCTATGTCACTGAATACATTTAACCTACAATACAATTCTTAACACCAGGAGGTCCTAACCTCTTCATACCCCACACAATACAGTCACAAGAAGCTTACACCAGTATTTCATTGTACTGTCTGTGGAATAAGAGCGGCTAACGGCATGTGAGTAACCTATTTGTCACATGATGTCAAATAAGTGTCATATATAGTGTCACATAAGATGGGTTTTTTTATGTTTGCAATTTTAGAGTAAAGTTTTAAAATTTTAAGTAAAAGTGAAAGTTTTACAGGAGAACACATGTAGGTTTGTTTTCTTATCCAGTAATATATATGACAAATGCTAAATCATTTCATCACTGTACAACCACTTGCCACCCTACTTGAGATATTCAGTGACCATCAGTCCTCAACTGCTTACTATTTCCTGTCTTTAATTCCGGTCAGACACTTCTCTCCCTACATAACGGAAGCTGACCACTTGTCAGCATACATTCATTGTAGGCTGTGCGCCATCACGCTGAAAATTAACAACAACCATTCCATGTACACATGATTACAGTCTGACCTATAAATTACAATAAAACAATTTCTGGTCAACTTGAACCGGCTAACTTTGCGACCACAGGAAGCCTCACACAGGAAGCTAAACACATCAACCCTCCCAGGTCCGCACCAACTGTCACCTACTTGAACATATCTGTACATGCATAAGCATAAGTGATACAAATGACAGCATTAATTACTTAAAATGGTAGTCAGTTTTAATGACTGAAAGGAGGTGCTTTTAACAAACATAACACCTTACACTATTTCATCCGATCATAGCTGTCACATGTCTCTTCAGTTACGGCTCAGCGAGCAGGCGATTGTGCTGTTAGTAGTACTCACAATAGTGCATAGACAGCGCCC